GACGCTTTCCTACGTCCTCTGTGCATGATTAAATTATTATATATATGATATACAGATTCGACTATTTCTCCTAACTATTTTTCAGCCTGTGACTCATGCTTTCACTTATCTGCATTTCAAGCTAGTTACTTTATATGGAAGCTAAAAAAAAATTATCTACTTTTTTGGTCCCAAAAAAAATTTCCTACTTTCTTTATTATAAAAAAGAAAAGCATGACAAAGAAGAAGGCAAACCAAAGGGAAAAAGAGCAAGATTATTAATTATATAAATCCTTAAAAAACCGCTGAAAAATTTTCTTTTCTAAAATTGATGATATAAAATACTTATTGCCACCCAATTTTTGAGTTGGTGCAAACCCATATTAAGATGCGTTAATATGTTTTCAGTTATATGTAAATATCTTCTTTTTGTATATAATTAAAAACATGTCACGTATAATTAAAGAAGAGTTATACCCGCTCAAATAAATTTGTACATGAATCCATAAAAAAATTTCATGGCTTTTGGACAATAATTCTTAAAATGGGAAATATTTTTAGAAATTTTTCCCAAATGGATCTTCCAAGTTGGCCATGAAATATTAATGATATGATTCCAACTCAGGAAAACTTGGGATGAACGGGTAGGCAAGTTGTATAAGCAAACGGCAAAACAGAATGCATACATATCTGCTCCGACTTGGTTTGTTTGAACGAAAGGCAAAACAAATACGTATCCCACAAAAGGATATGTATGACACACAGGATCTCTCCTTCAACTTGAAGACAACGGAATCCTCTCTCTCTCTCTCTCTCTCTCTCTCTCCTCGCTTCCTTCCCCGCAAATACCGGCCAATTTTTACCCTTTGTCCATAATATTGGGGGTCTCTACAAGTCATTAAGTTTATGAAAATCACAAGCAGCCGACTCGAGTTGAAAGCAAAGACAAGTCGACAGTTATGATAAATAAAATTCATTTAATATTAGTTAGGTCCCCACAAATTAATTTTCGAGACTTATATGATCATACCGTTCTAATTATAAGACCTCGTTTATAGATTACAATCGAAATCTTATATTCTTCCGATCCTAAATATAAGACCCTTATACACACTCTCTAGAGGTGTGTATAAAGGTCTTATATTTAGACCGAAGTAATTAGGATGGGGCAAGCATATTTTCATCCGTTTTTAGATCAGAAGTAGTTAAGAATGGTGCTTTAATTGCAAGTAGAGGAGAGAGTGGAGGGAGTAGGCGGTACCTGCGACGAGGACGAGGATGTTAATGTCAAGATGAAGGCGGCGGAGAGAGGAGAGTGCTTTGAGAAGAATGGGAAGAAGGCCAGCAGCCACGGCAGCCAAGGCCACGTACTGGAGGGGACCGTACACGTATTTGAATAGTGAGAGAGCCAGCAATATGCCAGACGCTAATGCGTAAGGGCTCGGCCATTTCTTCTGCTTCTGCTTCTCATTCTCGTCCCCGTGCACCCTCACGTTAGCCTCCAGCCTTGCCTGGTTCAGCGCCTTAGCTGCAACCCACCAACACCAATCCCCCCAATGTCAATTTTTCCCCATTTTATAATGCATATCCTTACTTTACTCTATCAAAAAATTGCACAATAATATCTCCTTAAAAAACTAATTATGCAAAAATATTCAGGTTCTTAAGCGAGTGCAATTCTTTTTTAATTATGTATAGCATATTTTCATCAGCTGTATGCAAATATTTTTTATTTTGTATATGGTTAAAAATATGTTGCAAACACCTGATCCTCAAACAAATTTCACATGCTTTTATCAATTAATTTTCTGACCAAGGACTTTAGACCAAATTTTTCTACTTTCTTTCTAATTTTTTAAATATATATACAATTCTCAAATAGGCTCAAATTTTAAAAAAAAAAAAACTCTGCTGGTTCAATCATTCACCACTTTTATTACCAGTTTTGGATGACTCTGAACCCATCGAAACTGCTACTTCTCGGTTCTTCCCCTAATTTCGAATTGGATCGCGCGTCCATTCATATATTTCTATTTCTCTTTTATTACTATTGTAGCCAGTATAATTTAATGAAATTTTTTTTTCTCTCGCTCATGATCTCATGCCAGATATTATTTTCTTGGCAGAAAGAAAATATTTTCCGCATACTTCCATCCATTCTCATGAACAATTCACGTGTAAACATGTTATCTCTTTCCGACAAAGAAAACAAATCTCATCTCCAACCCAAACCGAGCCTAATTGTTGAGGCGTCCGAATTGATTGAACAACTCTATGTCGGTTTAATTTTGATCCAAGCCAATACGAGAATGATAACAAGAAAAGCCCAGAGAAGTATGACAGAAGCGAGGATTTACCAATTTGAAACTGCGAAATGAGAGTAGTGTCGTGCACGACAATGACGGTTCGAGAAGGGACGATGACCGACACCTCTTTGATCCCTTCCAGAGGTTTAAGGATGTTTTCGATGAGCGGAACCTCCGAGGAACAGCACAATCCGACCACATCGAAGTAGCTCTTCTTCACCTTCCTCCCTGATCCTTCCTGCTTCCTTTCCTGCTCCGTCATGATTGATTATTGAATCAGGCTGCGACGTTACAGAACACACAGAACTGCAATCCCTGTCAAATTCTGCAGATTCTGAAACTTCTCCGAAACAGAGATTCCAGGAAAAGCAGAGCTGAATCAGAGGCCTGGAGCGAAGTTTCCAAGTTAGAAGGAGAGAATACGGGGGGGAGAGGGGGGGGAAGTAAGGATTAACAGGCATAAAAGCATGGAAATAGCGATTCCGAAGAAGGTGAGAGGAATTAGAGAAAGGATTACCTGGTGATGTTTAGAATGGGAAAGATGAAAAGTTGATGAAGCAATCGGCATGAATCTGTATGCAGACAGAGGCTTTAAGAGCAAAGAGGAGTGGGGCTTACGAGCGAAGGGCGGTTCTTGCTTTTATAGAACCTTGTGACTCACTGTAATTTTAAATAAACACGGCGTGGGAAAGTTATCAATATCACAATACACACATACATGGTATATACACACGCTATCTCCCATGCTTAACACCAGACAAATAATTTAGGTAGATTAAAAAAATTACTAACTTACTCCCTCCGTTCCTTATTATAAGAGACATTTGATGCTTATAGTATGTTCCTAAATATAAGAGACACTTAAAAGTTGTCTCTACTTTTTTGTGTTGATTTCCTATTTTACCCATATTTATTGTCTCCAACTCACACTTTTTCTCCTTCCTACTTCTCTTTCTTTTAAGAATTTACTATTGTTCTTTCTCATGCTCTCTTTCCTTATTAATGAGGGCATTTTTGGAAAAAAAATTATACTTTTTACACATTAATTATTCTTAACTAATTTTAACTATTTTTTTGATCAACGTAATTCGGTTATTCGTCTCTTATAATAAGGAACGGAGGGAGTATTTAATTATAATATATATTATATGATCTATTTAAAATACTTATATGTATAATTGGATTATAATTCTCTAGTGCTATTTATAAGTCACTTTCAATATGTTTCACACAAATCAATAAAAACATTAACCTTTATTAATTCTCATTTAAAATTCAACAACATTTTAACTTTATTGCTTTTTAATATACTCCTTTGGTCTTATTTATAGGGCAGAGAGAGAAGTTTTTTTTTGTCCTATTTATAAGTCACTTCATTAAATTTTTACCATGAATGTACTATATTGTCCTTCATTTATTATAGTGTATATAGTTATTTTTTTTTAAAGGTGTATATATTAAATAAGGATAAAGTTGGAAAGCTATTGTATTTTAATGAAAAGTTAATAAAGTTTAAAGTTTTTCTCCGTCTGTGTAAAACATGTTAGAAGTGCCTTATAAATAGGATTAGAGGAGTACAATATATCTCATAAGAACAAAGTCAGCATAATAATAAAAAGGGCAAATTTTACATTCATATGAGAATTTTTTTCTCTCTACTCTATAAATCGGATCAGAAGAGTATATCAATTTATAAATGAGATAAATAGTTTAAAAAATAATAAATATAAATATTTTAAAGTAATTTAATAAATTTATTAATCTCCTCAAATTAATCAACCCATCTTAAAGGTAAGGTAGAGGAGGTAGCATATTAAACGCATCATTTATGAACATGGGCTAAAGGGAAGAGGAGGTAGTATATTAAACGCATCATTTATGAACATATCCGGTTTTGCTAAAAGAAAGTCCCAACAGAATCCAATGTCATCAGTACAAGAAAGAGAATATGACATAGAAGGACTGGAAAGAAATATAATCACAATTAAGGCATCAAATTGGGAAGATTCCAACAATTAAGGACAAAAGTATTTTTTTGATCTTAAAAAAATGTTAAGGATCAATATATCATACTTGGTTGAGAGCATGCGGAACGTGGACTTTTAAAATTCGGAAGATTAATTGCAGGAATAATAAAGCTTAATTGTAAATATCTTTTGAGTAATTTATGTGATTCATGATTGAAAATTGTTCATTTATTTATTTACAAGCTAAATTTTCACATTTCAGAACTCGATTACATCGTGAATTTTAAAATAAGGCTTTGGATAATCTAATTATTGAGTTTATTTGATTTGTTGTGACATTTTTCGTAATTTTCCATTAATTTTTTAAATTTTAGAACTCAAACAATATACTGAAGAATCCAAAAGTGGGGTTTCAATGTTAAATAAGCGTTTGCTTCTAATATTTTAAAAGTCGTTATATTTCCAATTAACTAAAGGCAATTTAGTCTATAAACAATTCTTTTAGGCACCAACGTCTTTAGTTGTTATTAATTTAAGGATCATAACTATCGTTATGTCTCTAATAAGATTCTTGTATGTCATTTCCCCTACAATATATAGCCACCTGAACGTGTAAGTTAGTTCAAAGAGACGATGACAAACGAAGACGACGTAGGAATATCAGTGTAAAATGAAGGCTTCTAAAGCAGTAAATATTGAGTAGAAAATTTGGATGTTTGCATAATAAGTCCACATTTTTGGCCGAAAAAGGTAATAAATCCTTATTATAAAGAATTGACTTATAACCCATGTATTTTCAAACCTTGTTTGAGTGAGTAACCTATAAATACCTTTATAAGCTCTTTTTAAGTTTGAAATAATATGATTTATCAAAAGTTCTATACATATAGGGAAAATGTGCTATTTTTTAATAAAAATAGTGATAGATAATTAGAATAATATTCTCCTTGATCCTAAATAGAAGAATTAGTAGAAGAGTTTGCTATAATATTAAATATAAACCCTTAATCTACTTTATTTTTTGAATTTATAATTTTGTTAAAAAAATCTCTCTATTGATTAACATATATTAAGAAGATTTTTTTAATCAAGAGAGTAGCATTCAGTACAAATGATTATTAAGAGGAACATACATTTTAGTGAAATCAATAAAAATGTTTTACAAATAATTCATTTATTTAATTCTTTCAATTAAAAATAAAACTAGAGTGATTCATTTTTAGTTGAGGACGGTATTGTTAGTGGAGAATTAATGCGACATCTATGGGGTCCAACACTAACATCCACGACTTCTTGTCATTTATATTCCGTATGACTTTGTTTGATCTCAAAATCCCGAAAGAATCACTAACTCAAAGTGGTTAACATGGTAGGGGCCGGCTTTTATACATTAAGTAAATAATTAAAGATTTAATTCCCTCAATTATTGCATATGGATTTGGTCATTGAATCTTATATAATAAATCCAGCATTAATTATAAGATTTTATTTATAATTTATAAATAATATCTTATAATTAGAACTGATAGTAGTATAATAGATACAACCCAACTCATCAACACTAATATGTACTCAGCGGAAAGCACAAAACTCAAAAGTAGACTACGGCTCTCCTTCTTAACAGAAATTAACAGGAGAAGTCACTGGTCCCACATTCTCCTTTTGTAAACTCGACTATAGGTAAATATTGAGGAGCATTAGTTGCAATCAATTATAGCATGCTGCACGGTAAAAAGGCCTCAACTTGACATAAATGCATGTGTTATAATCAAGTTTTTGATACAAATAAGCATACATTACCTCCGATTTTAATTATAAGAACTAGTTGATTAATTTAAAGAGATTAAGAAAATAAGTTAAGTTAATTATTTATAACAAATAGGATTGTTTTTCCTAAAATATTCTTACTAATCAAGTGTATTAGTGAGAACTATCATTATTAGAAATACTACCTCCAGTCCTTAATATAAGATCATGTTTGACTTTTATTTTGGTTCTAAATAGAAGACCCCAATCCACTTTGTCTCTCATATTTACTTAATTTTTTCTAAGATAATCCTTCTAATAATTATAGTTCTAGTTAATACACTTGATTAGCAAGGATATTTTATGAAAGACAACATTTTTTTAGGACAAATAACTAACGTAACTTACTTTCTTATCTCTTCAAATTAGTCAACTGGCTCTTATAATTAGGACTGAACATAGTACTGCCTTGAGAAAAAATACATAAATATAAGAGACAAAGTAGATTGAGATCTTATATTTATGACCAAAATAAAAATCAAACAAAATCTTATATTAAAGGCTGAACATAGCACTTGAAAAACTTTGAGCTAATACTCAGTCGGATCCATCATATAGTTTACAACTCTGTGTGTATAGATAACATATGTGGTCAAGTTGAGAAGTAGCGAAGTCATGTAATTAAGCATGAGATGTCACATTATAACTGGCATAAAAATTATCTCAACAATATATAAATTAGAAATTAATATGTGCGTATATATCATCTCTAACTAACTACAGTAAACCTTTGTAAAGGGTGATTTACCCAAAATTTCAGAACAATGCTAGAAGTGAGAAACCGTGTTGGCATTCCTCTTATGTTTGGATTGGTACGAGGCAAGGAGAGGAGAGAGAAAATTTTAATGGGTTCACTTTTTAAAAATTTAAAAAGTGGAGTTAAATTTTTTTGATTAATTTTAATTACTTTCTTATTTTATATTTTCTCTTTATTAAAATTTTATAACCTCATTTTTTTAATTTTTTAAATCGTATTTATTAAAATTTTCTCTTCTTTCTTCTTTTTTTTATTTTCCTCGTACCAAACAGAGTGTGAGAAGGCTACTTCCCAACATACTCTGACACATTAATGAAAGAGTTTTTATATAGAGCCTCAATTATCTAACTAAAAGGATCATAATTTCTCTAAAATATATTATTTGAAATATAAAAAAATTAACAACCCAATTCATCATTATTTGTTTCTTTTTCGCGGCCTTTTTGAAGATAGACTTTCAAGCTGTCCCAGACTCCCACCACAGTTATTAAAAAAACAAAAACAAAACAAAACTTGTGTTATCGGCTTATCGCTGCAATAATTCTTGGTCAATTTTGCATTTTGACCCTTATGCGGTGTGCCGGTGTGTCAGTAAGATTTGGTCTATTATACGTCACGTCTGCAATAATTAGTTCATTATTTGGGTCGTCCAAAAAATTAATAAATTGTTTCTTTTACAAATTAGTACTCCCTCCATCTTCAGAAAATTATTAAAATTATTTTAAAATAATAAATATATTAAAAATATTTTTTTAAAATATATCCTTATTTATAAATAGATAGGTATAAGGTTGTCAAACTCACGAGTTTAAACAAATTTGTGATAATAATATAAACTCGAATTGTAAATTTAAATCGCGAACTCGTAAGAATTTACTTTTATTAATAAATTGGTATTAAAAGTATATAATCAAATAATTAATATATAAAAATAAGAATAATTTTATTTAAATATATTTTAAATTTAAATAATTGAAATTATATCCATCAATGTTCATAATTTATCATATTCAACAAAGAAATTTCTATAAAATTCATATACAAAGTTACTAAATATAATCAAATCCA